CTCCTGCCACCTCCTGACTCTCCCCTCCTCCGACCTCATCAACGTCCATCCTCAAGGGCGAGTGCGCTGGCAGCTATCAAGATGCTCCACATGCTCACGACTTTCACCCTACTCGCCACTCCTGAGTCTTTCCTACAAGTCTCGTACCCCGCTGCATCGACACAATGGTGCACAGTGGTGTACAGTGGTGTACAGTGCAGAGGGTTATGCTTCACATGTTCATCGACCGCTTGAGGCACCCTTTTTCTTGTGATGTCAAGCTCATGAAAAGAGAACTGAATTCTGCACAAGCAGCGCCATTGTAGCAACTACAATTCAACACAATACAGAGAGCCTCATTTCCTTGTGTGAAGCACGTTACAGTTCAAATACCTGTTAGAATCATAGCTAGGAATGGATGGATTAGGTCAAAGGGGGGGTACAAGAAGAATGTACCCCCTAACATGCAACTCACTACAGGCTAAACTAGAATATAAGATATAACTTTGACAATACCTATCCTCCTACTGATCCATCCATGGCAACAGTGCCTGCGTACACTTTTTTTCACTGAGATGCAAGTGGTCTACCCTTGCTAGGACCCTCAGCTAAGCCATACGGGCGTTGCCTAGAGGAACCAATCCCATTCATGCCTTCATCGGTTTTGATCATACCGTATGACTCTCCTAAAAAGCACATCCATGCATTATATGCATATCCATGCTGTCAGGGACCCTCGAGCACATAAGGTGTCTTTTGACTCGACTCAGAACCCCAGCCTACAGCCGATCTCGTGCCACGATCTGGGAAAGCACCTGTTCAAGGTCCCTGAGGCGAATCGGCTTGGCCAGGAACCCATCCATGCCTGCATGCATGCGCACACTTGTCCCTCTCGTGCTTCATGGTGCTCGCCTGTGTTAGCACTGACTGTGTGGCAAATAAGGAGTCCCAAGCCAGCCTATAGCCTATCCCGTGCAACGATCTGAGAGTACCAGTTCAAGGTCCCTCAGGCGGATGGGCTTCGCCAGGAACCCGTCCATGCCTGCATGCGCACACTTGTCCCTCTCGTGCTTCATGGTGCTTGCAGTGACAGCATATATTGTCGACCTCTGCACCACACTGTTGTTGTGCCCCGCCCTTCTCTCCTCCTCCTCTGGGACACTAGAGCGCTGCTGAGCTACCCTTCCCTGATCAGTCCTCTCATCCTCCTCTCGCTGCTCTGATCGCTGCCCCTCTGGCTGCTCCTTCCGCTGCCCCTCTCCCTGCTCTGCGTGTAATCTACGAAGAGAATTGTGAGCTTCGGTTAGGCGGTGATTTTCAGAGAGTTGGTTGGTTGGAAGGGCATGGATTCAGCTGCATTGGAGCTTGGGATGGGGGCGATGTGGGCGCTGGACTGAAGCTCCCGGATGCGCGTGGTGGCTTCAAACCCGTCCATGACTGGCATGTGGCAGTCCTGTAACGATGACAAAGGGAGGGGGGTGCGGTGGGATGGGATGGGATGGGAGTGTAAGAAAGCCTGTTGGATGCGCGTGGTGGCTTCGAACGAATCCGTCCATGACTGGCATGTCCTGCAGGTGACATGGGAGGTAGAGGAGCAAGCACACGTCAGGAGGAGATGTTGGGGGAGAGTTGTGGGCGCTGGACTGAAGCTGACGGAAGCGCATGGTGGCCTCGAATAACGAGGACTGGCATGTGGAAGTCCTGTAACGAGGATGAATAAAGAGGGGGCTGGGGTGGGGTGGGAAGGGATGGGAGGGTAAGAAAGCCCGTCGGATGTGTTTTGGTGGCCTCGAATCCGTCCATGACTGGCATGTGGCAGTCCTGTAACGAGGATGAATGGAGAGGAGGTTGAAATGGGATGGGAAGGGATGAGGTGGGATGGGTTGCGGTGGGAATGTGTGAAAGCCCGCTGGATGAGGGATTGGGGAAATAAATAAAAGAGGGGCGGGAAAGAGATAAAGAGAAACAGCAAATACGAGAGCAGGGACATACCATAAAATGAAGTTGACGTGGTAGTTGGTGGACTGACCATGAAGATGACGTGGTAGTTGGTGGAGCGGCAGGCCTCCACGGCCTTGTGGCCGTTCTCTGCCACGTCACACGAGACTCGCAGGTTCCTCAGCAGCTGCACCACCACCATGCGATTCACCGCGTTGTCCTCCACCACCAGACACCGCAGCCCAGAGAAGGGCCTCCTCCCCTGCTGCCTGCTGCCGCCACCACCGCCAGCACCACCAGCAGCAGCGCCAGCAGCAGCGCCAGCAGCAGCACCCCTGCTCCCACTGCCACTTCCGCTGCCGCCGCCCCTGCTGCTGCCGCTGCCGCTGCCGCTGCTGCCGCCGCTACCAGCGGTCTTGCTGTTGCTGTGATTGGGAGACAAAGGCGTGGTCCACGGACATGCTGCCTGCTCGTCTCCGGGGGAATGTCCTCTTTCCACGGTCTCCCCCCCCTCCTCGTCGCGCTGCTCCTCTGTCGCTCTCTTTCTGTCATCCAACCCTTGCTCTCCTGATTCCCTCATTCTTCCCTCCTCTTCCTCCTCGCTTTCCTCCTCGTCTTCCTCTTCCTCGTCCGCTTCCTCCTCCTCCAATGCCTCCTCTTCCCTTTCGATTCCACAGGAGTCTCTCTTGCGCTTCCTCTGCCCCTCCGAGAAACCCTGCTCTCGTCTCTCTTCATCTGCCAAACCTCCTGCATCCACCATGCCCTCTGCAAAACCTCCTGATGCTGTGGCTTCTGCTGCAGCTGCAGATTGGTCACTTCCCTCCCTGCAAACCTCTCTTGAGTCCCCTCAATCCCCTCTCCTCCCCTTTCCACCGCAAAACCCGTCCCTCTCACTCCCCTCCTCGCAGCACCTCCCCCCCCCTTGCCCCTTGCACCTCACCCCCTAAACTGCTCGCCACGTCTTGATTACAAATCCCCAACCGCTCCAAACCGTTTCTCACACCCTCTCCTCCCGCTGCTGCTGGGAATCCCTGTCACAGCGGGGAGCAGGAAGGAGTGAAGGGCAGGGAGAGGGAGAAGGTGGAGCCGTGGCGGGGGAGGAGGCGACGGAGATGCACCCCCCCATGAGCGCCGCGAGCGAGCGACAGATGGAGAGACCCAGCCCCGTGCCGCCGTGCTTGCGGCACGACGAGTCGTCCACCTGCCAGAAGGGGGAGAAGAGGCGCGTCAGGGCGTCTCCTGATAAGCCCATGCCTGTGTCCTTCACGTCTACTCTCACCCACACCCGCACCCGCCCCTTCTTCTTTCGCCTCCTCCTTCCCTTCTCCGCCGTTTTTCCTGCTGTTTTTTTCGCTGCCGCTGCTGTTCCGGCCTTCTGTGTTGGCTTCTCCCGCTCGCTCTTCTGCTCTTTGCTTTGCCGCTTGGTTTTTTAGTCGGATGGGCCGGGGTGTGGGAGTGGAAGGAAGGGATGAAGACCAGCGCAGCGGCATCTGCTGCAGCAGAGGTGGCAGCAGCAGCAAACGCTGCGCCATCTGAAAACCTCATGCCGGCCCCTGCCCCCTGCGTGTGTTGCAGCAGCTGCAGCTTCTGACGTGGGATGCTCCGGTGCTGCTGCTGCCACGCCTGAGCAACCTGCTACATCCATTCCACGACCTCCTCTCACAGCCTTGGCTGGTAGTGCATCTGCTACATCCATGGCCTCGCCTGCTCCTGCTACAGCCGGCCCTGCTGTGCCTGCACCACCTGCGGCTGCAACATCAGCTGCTGTAGCTACAGCTGCTGCTACAGCTGGCGGCACAGCTGGCGAATCAGACAGTCTGGAGGGGCAGGAGAGCGCGGGCAGCAGCGAGGCCGGCCTGAGCACCCACACGGAGGCAGCAGCAAGGCCGGCCTGAGCGGCAGCAAGGGAGGCGGTGGCGGGAGTGAGCACCCACGGCTCGTTCATTATGCGGTCCAGATCCTCCCTCAACCTCTGCTTTGCTAACTCATCTTCCATGCCTCCCTCACCTCCGTCACCTCCGTCGCCCTCTGCCTCCCTCACTGTCTGCCTTGCCATCTCTTCATCCATACCGTCCTCCCCTCCCCCTCCACTTCCCCAGCCCCTTTCTCTTCCTCCTGCTCCTGCTCCTGCTCCTCCTGCTGCTGCTGCTGCTGCTGCTGCTGCTGCCACACCAGGTCCCGTTGCTGCTGCTGCTGATGTTTCCGGAAGGCTGTGGTAATGCATACCGTCCTGCCTCAGCTGATCCTCCCCTCTCTCCTGCTCGTTACCACACTCTCCTCTCCTCCTCCCTCCACGCCCCCTCCATCTGTCCAAATGCAGGCCTCCGTGCCGCTCCTGCCACCCTCCCCTCCTCATCCACACCTGGCGAAGCCACACCTGGCAAAGCCACTACGTGACAAGCTTCCCCAATGGCTTCGGATTCAAAGGGGTTGGCAGAGAGGGCGGCGGAGAGGAGGACTTGGCCGTGGTCGGTGAACTTGATGGCGTTGGAGAGCAGATTGAGCAGAATCTGCCTCACCCGCAGCTGATCCCCCTCCACCCACTCCGGCACGCCCCCGCCCACGCTGATGTGCAACTGCATAAGTAATGTATAAGAGGAAACAAAATAAGGAGGAAGACAAGCAATATGAAACAAAAGATAGCAGCGTATGCGGATGTGAAAACAGTATACCATATATGTATATATATTTATATGTACACATATAAAAATTATGTATACACCTTCATATGTTCCTTATTTCTCACCTTGAGTTTTTTGCTTTCGGCCGCGATCCTCACGGCCTCCACCGCCTCGTTCACAGTGTCGTGCAGGTTGAACGGGGAGTGATCCAGAACCAGGGATTTCGTCTCAATCCTCGAGATGTCAAGCACGTCTGAGATGATATGGATGAGGGCGTTTCCGGAGGAAGAAATGACGCCGACGTAGGAGCGCTGCTGCGGGGTGAGGGGGGTGCGGAGGAGCAGCTCGGCGACACGACACGATGACGCCATTCATGGGGGTGCGCAGCTCATGGCTCATGTTCGCCAGGAACCGGTTCTTGGCTTCGTTGCCTGCTTCTGCTGCTTGGCTTCGCCTCGCTCGCCGTTCAGCTCCTCCTCCTTGCGCTTCATCTCCGTTATGTCGTGCCACACCGATACGTAGTACGAGATTCCATTCACCGTCACCACCTGGAGGTTATGGAAACGAAACAACATTGCAAAAAAAGAAATGGTATATATATATATATATATATATATATATATCAGGAGTGCGAGATAGCAAGGGAGTGACATAGAGGGAGAAAGAAACCCTAAACCTGAATCCTTTGACCCTTGGCGGCACCCAGAGCCTTCAGCCCCTGCTGGGGGCCGACACCAGCAACACATTGATGGCCTTTCCTTGTCCGGGGGCGGGTTTTGGCGCCTCGACTTGGATCAATTTCCTTCATCCACCGCAATCCACGTGGGCCTCTCACTCTCCACACTCAACGCCACACCGGTGCAACTCGCCGCCATCCCACCGGGTACTGGACCCATGCCTCCCCAACCACCTCATGCCTGCCATCCTCTCTCACCCTTGCCTTGACAGCACGCGTGCACGTGCGGCCATCCAAGGAGAACATGCTCCACAAAATTCAGGTCCCGCGGTCCTCACCCAAGTGTTTGCCTTCCTCTCACCTTGCCACTTCTCGCTCTCACCGTGCCACTTCTCCCTCTCACCTTGCCTTTCACAAGCACCGTGCACGGTTGGCCATCCAAGGAGAACATGCTCCATGCTCCACTCAAAGGGCGGCAGCCCGCCCTCCCTCAGGATCCCCTCCAGAATCTCCAGGAAATACTCCAAACTTTGCCGCCCGCACGGCTGGAACTCGGGGGACTGCTTGACGATGCTGAGGCTGGCCAGTGCAGCCTCTTTGGATGGGTATCCGATGATTTGCACTGTGGCGTCGTTGCAGTCTCGGAGAGTAAAGTCGGGGGTTGTGAACACCTGGATGGGGTCCTGCGCGGGGGGGGTGGGGGTGTGTGGGAGGCGAGGAGAGGGACGGGGGGAATAGACAATGAGGCAGGGGGGAGGGGGGAGGGGGGAGGGGGAGGGAGGATGGAACACCACTGGAGGGGGTCTGTGCGGGTGGGTGGCGGGATGGGGATAGGTTGGGGAGAGATGAAGAGAAGAGACAGACAGCGATAGGCATGGACGATGTTGGTTAAAGAGCTGCTGGTTTCACTCACAATGGAGAGATAAAAAAAACGGTTTGGCATTTGGCATTCTCGTGCCCCAGGAGCAGTTAGTGGCGCAGGCAGTGAGTGGGAGCAAGCTGAACGCTGAACGTTGTAGGTAGGGTTGCGCGGTGAGTACGATATGAGGTGAACTCACAATTGAAAGGTCAAAGATGGCTCGGAACTTGCATTCTCGTGCCCCAGCAGCAACGCCTCCTTCACTTGCTCTATCAGCCATCTCCCCTGTCCACTCCGCACACCCCTCCTTCCACCATCACCACCACCCACCACCACCACCACCACCACCTACCACTAACACACCATTGCCATCCACCACCACCGCACCACGCACCAGTTGCCACCACTGCCATGCGCAGCAGCACATGCATCACATCGCAGCACAGCACCAGCAGCAGCATCGGCGCAGGCATGAGCACACGCATGCACAGCAGCTGAGCAGCAGAGCAGAGATGGCGCGGCAGCAGGTCAGTGAGTGGGAGGAACACCAATGGCAGTGGCAGCAGTGGCGTCAGTGGCAGCAGCATCGGCGGCAGCAGCGCCAGGCAGCAGGGAAAGCAGCAGCAGCGTGAGGAACACCAGGGGGTGGTTGAGTCGGTGTCGAGTGCGATGGCGTGGCGAGCTGCGCACACTCCCTCAGCTGCTGCAGCATCAGCACCTGCTCCCAGGGAAGCGAGGGGAGGAAGGAGGGGGAAGGGGAGGAGAGAGTGAGGCAGGTGAAACCGAGAGGGTGTGAGCTGCGCACACTCCCTCAGCTGCTGCAGCATCAGTACCTGCTCACAGGGAACAGAGGGAAAGGGAGAGATGGAGGCGAAACAGAGAAAGGGAGGGGGAGGGGACGGGGGAGGAGGAGGCTCCGCGGCGATTCTTTAGTCGAATAAAGAAAGAAGTATTAGTGCAACCCCATCCCAAAGCTACCATTCCTGAAACCGCTCACCTGACGAAGTATTTGCTCTGTGTGAGTTGAGTAAAGAAAGGAGTATTAGAGCAACTCCATTTCACAGCTCCATTCCTGAAACCGCTCACCTGACGCAGTCTCTGCTCAGTGGCGTCAAGGAAGGTGCAGAGAACCATCCTTTGATCCTTGCAGTCATCCTTGACACTCGCGCCGGAGCTTGTAGCACTCGCACGCGCAGCAAGGGATGCAGACACCTCAAACCACCGCCACTCACTGCTGCTCATGCTCATGCTCATGCTGCCACTCCGACTCGCCTCCCTTCCCTTTCCCCCTCCCTCGCCCTCTCTCTTCTCCTCACCAAGCTCTGCGCCCCTCTTCCATTCCCCCAGTTTCTCCCCCTCGCCCCCCTTCCCCCCTTCGCCCTGTCCTAGCACTGCCAGCCGCACCCAGGACCTGCCGCTTCCGCCGGCTGCTGTCCGCTGCGCACTCCCCCCACAGCTGCCTTGCGCGCGGGCAGATGGGGGGAAGGGGAGATGGGGGGAAGGGGAGATGGCGGGAAGGGGAGATGGAGGGAATGGGAGATTGAGGGATGGGGAAGTTGGAGGATGGGGAGATGGAGGGAATGGGAGATTGAGGGATGGGGAGATGGAGGATGGGGAGATGGAGGATGGGAGATGAGGATGGGGAGATGGAGGGATGGAAAGTATTGCACTGACAAGGTTGCGACGGTGCGGCAGGGCAAGTGGGAGGGGGAAAGGCGGGACATGGGACAGGCGGGAGAGGCGGGACAGGGATCAGCGGAGAATGCGAGAGGAGGGTGGTGGGTGGGAGAGGAGGAGACTGATGGGAGGAAGGAGACTGATGGGAGGAAGGAGACTGATGGGAGGAAGGAGACTGATGGGAGGAAGGAGACTGATGGGAGGAAGGAGACTGATGGGAGGAGGGACACGGATGGGAGGAGGGGACAAGGAGAAAAGGTAAAGCCTATTGTCGGTATCAGATACAGCCATCAGACCTTATATTTATTATACCTCTGTAACGATCTTAAGCTTCAATGCTCAGCTTTATTACCTCCAGGGCGGCTCTATCGGAGGGGTGAACGAGCGACTGCACGCGCTTCCCGGACAGGTCGCATTGCGGCAGGCCGAGCATATCGGCTAGGGCAGCGCTGTTGCAAGCAGGCGAAGGGGAAAGGGTTGAAAATTTAGAGTTGACACGTCAGGCCGTTGTGTTCCATCGTGAAACAAAATATCGATCGAGAGGCCGGAAGAACCTAATTATGAACCTTTGTGCCGGTAGGCTCTACTTTTCGGTGGATGCAATACCGCTCAAGGCGCGATCCATTCGACCCATGCGATCCATGCGAACCCTCAATAGCGATGGAGACGAAAGCGGACGCTAAGAACGTTTCAACCGCTTTTACTAAGAAAATGTGACATCTTGTGTTTCAGGTTGCAATTCAGTTTCTGCCACGTTTCAAATAGTATTTGCGCTCCCCGCAATCCACGCGGCATTTTCAGACGTTTTACCTGCATTGCGCTAACCGCTGATCCCTCACGTCCCCGCTCACGGCCACCAACACAGCGGGAACGGCCTGGAGAAGAGAACTCTTGAGATGTCCAATACGTTTTCAGCCATGGCAGCTAAAATTTTGCCGAATCATGTGCTGCTTACACACTGTGTTAGCATCGGCCCGATGTGTTATGATAAAGTTGGACGCATGTGCGTTCACACACTATGTTAGCATAAACTGCTATATGATGAGTATTCTTTCTATGACAACGTGAAGCCTAGGAACTGAAGAAAACTGCCTGCCTTTGAATATGGGCTTGAGATGCCAGCCATAGTTTGAATTGTCTCAGCTGACTTTCTTTCACTTGGAGATACAGGAAGTGTCTGGCAAGGGTTTGAACAGCGAATTTAGCAGCCTTAAACGAAGAATGTTACTGCTATTCTGCTGGTTACAAAGTCGAGCGAAGGTCGCATACAGCTGTTGACCTGCTTGTAAATGGGCTGCTGCGCTGCTGCTGCTGCTGCTGTCTGGGAGGGAAGCTGCAGTGGTGTACACCTAGTCCGCGGTATTTTAACCACGTGAACTGTTTTGCTTCAAACACCCTTTGTTCATTTTCGGGTAATGAGATGGGCACCCAGAGACTTCAAGGCTATTGTTTCGCAGCAGAAGAATTTCCTACTAAAGAAACTCACACTTAGTGCTCCGAAATAGAGGGAGGATCGGCATTGACCAGATTTTTAATGCCATCGCCTCACAAAGGGTATGCTATATTATACCCTCAATAAATTTCAAAACTACTCGTATAAAAAAGTTTGACTAAGGAGAAGTACCCTCGCGCGGTTAAGATAGCGGCGGTTAAAATACCGCGGACTAGGTGTAGCATCTGGGCACAGAACGACAGTCTGGATTTGCTTGCCTCCACTTTGTCATATTGAAGCACGCCGAAATCCGTGACCTGATCCGCGGCTATCGGATTTTCCTTCCAACCACGTGGCACACCAGTGTGATTTCAGATGCAGAACAGAGGTCACGTCAGGGGGTGAAGCCTATACAAATTTTCGAGCTCAAATTCTGTATTTGGCAATTTATAAAGGATCATACCAATCCCACCCGATCCGAATGTTGTCCCGCCCGACTCCCTCTCAGACAAAAGTGTTCATGAATGGTGCATGCACGGGCATAAGGACGTTATCGAGACACGTCAGCCACATCTAATGTGGGCAAGGTTGCTTTCTTGTACAGTGTAGTTCCTGCCATGGTGGTGATTGCTCGTACAGGTGGTTGATGTGGTGGGGAATTTCGCGTCAGGGTGTTTCTCAGCTAGGCCTCTTTGTGGGGTGGCTACTTCACCACTACCCGGGATAAAACATCGAAATCGAGGGCTACACGCCAGGAGGACCCAGCAGATGCTCTTTGCCCGTGCGCGATCTGGGACACTGAAGGTACTGTAACTCTGAAACCCGGTTAGGAGACTTTGATCTGTCGAACTGTACTTGTGAAAATTGGTTCCCATAGTCCAGCACTCACATTACCCAACGTCCAGTTGTACATTGTTCACTAACTGGAGCAATATTGATTGGATGTCTCTCAACCTGACTGGTTTGGCAATAAAGCCATCCATCCCCACACTAGCACATCGGTCCCGTTCATGCTTGAGCACACTAGCTGTGACTGCATGAATGGCAGACCTTTGGACGACCCTGTCATGTGGGCTTTCCTCTTCTCTCTCAGCATCCAATGCCAATTGTCTGTCCGACGGGGTTATATCTTTCACATCTGCTGTTCCGGGATTGGATTGTAGCTTCCGAATGCGAGTGGTGGCTTCAAACCCATCCATGACAGGCATGTGACAATCCTGAATAAAAACAAGGGTGAACAAAGGGTATTGAGGGCATCCTGACGAGCTCGTGGTGGCGATTCTAAAAATACATAATCTGACCACGAAGCTGACGTTGGAGTCATGGAGGGATGAAATACAAGAAGGAAGAAGGACGCACCATGAAGATGACGTGGTAGTTGGTGGAGCGGCAGGCCTCCACGGCCTTGTGGCCGTTCTCTGCCACGTCACACGAGACTCGCAGGTTCCTCAGCAGCTGCACCACCACCATGCGGTTCACCGCGTTGTCCTCCACCACCAGACACCGCAGCCCCTCAAACGCCCCGCCGCAAGACGGGGACTTGGGAAATGCGCCACCCTTGGCGGTTGACTTTGGAAATGCCCCGTTATTAGAGGGGGACTTGGGAAATACCCCACCATTAGAGGGGGACCTGGGGAATGCACGTGCCACACCTCCTTCGGGGGGCCGCTTCGTCTCACCATGTCTCTCCCTCCCCTCCCTGCTTACTCCCATCGGCTCACCACCTCGCCTCTCCCGACCTTCCTCTGCCCCTGTAGCGCCCTCTACTCTTACTCTCTTGCAACCTTGAGCAGACTCGAATGCAGCTAAGCCTTGAGACGCCTCAGACGCAACTGCCACACTCCCTCTTTCCTTTGTAGCTCTAGATCCGCCTGCTGACTCCACACACCCGTCAGCTCTTCCCACACTGTGATCCACACGCCTCAGCTTATTTAACGATGTGTCATCCACGTGTAATACCTCGACTGGCCTACCGCTGCCACTGCCATTCACCATTGCTGCCTCCCTCCCACGTTCCTTACAGCGTTTGCAGCCCGCGTGCTTTGCTTCCCTGTTAACCGTCTCAGCAGCACCATCTGGTTTCACACCACATCCTTTTTCCTCTGACTCTTGCTGCTGCTGCTCTTGCTGCTGTTGCTGCTGCTGCTGCTGCAGCTGCTGCTGCAGCTGACCAGCATGGCTGGGCGCCAGTTCCGGCTGCTTCCCATCGTAGCTCGGATGAACTGGCGACACTGGCAGCACAGGAAAGACCCCACAGTCGGCCATATTTTCCAGCAGAAAGGATCGGGTCCTTTTGTGCCCCCTGCGCCTCTCAATGCCCCTATGCTCCTGCGACCCCTCCCCGTGACCACTCCTACCAGCAGCACCGGCAGCAGTCACAGCCACAGCAGCAGGAGCAGCTGCAAGAGCAGCCGTAGCAGCAGGAGCAGCAGAAGCAGCAGGAGCAGCGGCACCGGCACCACTTATTATACGCTCACCACCGTGAACACTCTCGTCAGGGCGGGGGGCGGGCTGGAAGGGCAGGTGGAGGGAGAAGGTGGAGCCGTGGCGGGGGGAGGAGGCGACGGAGATGCAGCCCCCCATGAGCGCCGCGAGCGAGCGACAGATGGAGAGACCCAGGCCCGTGCCGCCGTGCTTGCGGCACGACGAGTCGTCCACCTGCCGGAACGGCGTGAACAGCCGTGTGAGTGCGTCAGTGGAAATGCCCTCTCCGGTGTCCTTGATGTCTATCCTCACCCACACCACTGCCCTCCGCTCCTCCCCACCCTCATCCCCATCCCCATCCCCATGCGTATCCCCATCCCCATGCTCTTGCCCATGGGTATGCACTGCCCCATGTGCATCCCTTTCAGCGTGTCCTTCCCCCCCTCTCCTCCCTGGTGCACTTCCCCTTGCATCTGGTCTCTCCTGCAATATTGCTTCCCCTGCCTCTGCCCCTTCTCCTGACCCTGCCTCAGCCCCTGCCCCTGCATCGTCTGCCACGTCCCTGGCCTGACCCGCCCGACACTCGCCCTCGCCGCCTCTAACCACTTCCCCTCGGACCTCCTCACTTATGTCACCTTCCTGGCCCCATGCATCCAAGGAAAGGGAGTGTGGGAAAGCAGGGGCGACTGGGTGCGGAGAAGCCATTGAGAACACATCATCTTCTGCTGCACCATCTGCTGTAGTAGCATCTACTGCAGCGTCTGCGGGGGCTGGCGCTGATATTGGCGTTTGAGGAGCCACATGCAGGGGGCGTGCAGGGGCGAGTGGGTGCAGAGAGGTGATCGAGAACACTGCATCGTCTGCTGCCGCATCTGCTGCTGCTGATGCAGCCACAGCGACGAACTCAGGATCCACACTCTCACCACTCTCACTGCCAGTGTTCACCCCCGGGGATGCTGTCTCCACCCCAGCACGCACTTCATTGCTCTCTGCAATGCGTGCGGCCCTTAGCACTGCTGCTACAGCTGCCACCTTCCCCTCTGCTGCCAAATCACTGGCCTCTGCTTCCACCACTGCTTCAACTCCCCCCTCTGCCCCTGCGCCCCCCACTGCCACTACATCACGATCAGCCAAAAGGCAAGCTCGTTTCTCAGGAGCCCCACCACCACTGCCCCTGCACTCTGTGGCTTCTGCTCGCGCATGCTCCGTCTCACCGCGCCGCCGCTTCCTTCCTGCAGGCACCAAGGCGCCTTCCGCTTCCTTTTCAGGCACAAGGGGCGGGTCGAGGGGGGCCGTGGTTTCAGCCTCAGGGTCGAAGGGGATGTGTGCTGGGGCGGCACAAGGAGCGCCCTGCTGCTTCTCAGGCACAACTGGAGGGCCGAGGGGGTCCGTAGTTTCATGGTCGAGGGGGTCCGTGGTTTCATGGCCGAGGGGGTCCGTAGTTTCATGGCCGAGAGGGTCCGTGGTTTCATGGTCGAGGGGGTCCGTGGTTTCATGGTCGAGGGGGGCCGTGGTTTCATGGTCGAGGGGGGCCGTGGTTTCATGGTCGAGGGGGGCCGTGGTTTCATGGTCGAGGG